TGAAAATAAGAAAGGAGGCTGCAAAGGTGTAATGATGGCTAAGATAAATTGAGTCGCTTTAGTAAAAATTTAAGTCACTTCATTATTCTCTTATATATATATATATATATATATATATATATATATATATATATATATTTCATAAAAAAAATTAAAAAGAAATAGTGAATGTAAGATCAATTGATGCATGATTATGAAATAAAATAAAAACAAATATTCCATGTTAAGATAAATGTAGCTAATATGGTAGAAATGAAAAAATTGTTACAATTTGATCTTTGTGAAAGAAGTAAAAATTATTGAAAAATATTTTGATTTTATTAAATTATAATAACATAATTAAATATTATAAAATATTAATTCATGTTATAAATGTGTACTCTTTTTGATAAAATAAACTGACAATTTGAGAAAGATTCATGCTTTGCATGTGGTACTTTATTCTTTTTTCTACTGTCATAAAGCAAACTAGAAATACAACAAAAATAAAGATAAATAATAATAACACTAAAAAAATTGTGATCAAGTTTTTTTTTCTAATATTTTATCAATTATATCAATCAATTTATATAAAATAAAGGTTAAACTATACAAAAGCTCCAAAATTGTATTATTCATATAATTGTATAAATAAATTGTCACAAGTAGAACTAATTTTTTTAACTTAAATTACATTCAAAAAATTCAAAGATGCATTTTAAAATTGAAATTTTCTCTAGTTAAATTCTTTAGCACAAGTGTATTGTCTCTGTAATACATGCTAATGTTTGTATGATTATATTGACACAAAATAATAATTTTAATTTTACATAAAATGTTTGTTTTATGAAAAAATATTCTCACCAAATTATATACTTCTATTTTATGGATGAATTAGGATTATCAAAAGACAAAGGTGCTTAAAATTATGTATCTTGCAAAATAGAGTAGAGGATCTTAAAGCATGGAGCTTTGGCAATTTCAATGTCATTGTAGCATTTATTAACTAATAAATTATCAAATTGATGACTCATATTAATCTACAAATGAAGTTATAATTTCCAACATTTGATATTTGAATTATTAATTGTTGGTTGTTTTTTTAAAAAGAAATGCATATAAATGAATACTTCTTATTCCTTAGCAGCATGAAACAATTGTCCTAAAGTACGTTACAAATTGCACATAAAACTTCAACACATTGTATATGACCAAAGGTTTCATACTTTGAGTGCACAAAATACTATGACATTTCCTATTGGATATGATACAAATTTGTACCATGAGATTAATTTTGATCACTAACATAGGTTTACTAAATGAATTTGGCCCCAGTGAGGGCAAAAGACATCTTTCACACCATTAATTAAAAATCGTGTGCAGAAATGCTAATTGTGAGACTTGGGACATTGAGGGAGGGCACAGACCTTGTCCCTCGGGAAACCATCCACCACACGTTCATCCGCAACACCTTCATCCGCCATCCATCTCCCACATTTCACCCACATATTATCCATACATCCACAATTCATCCACCAGTGCCTCAATCATCGGTTCTTCATCCATTAGCTTTCCAAATCAGGGAGTTGGTATGTCTGTTTCCCTTCGTTGTTTTGTGAGTACGAAGTGGCCTAAATTGTTATGTTGCAGCCCTTTGCGAGTGTCGTCGTCTTCCATGGCAGAACACGAGCTGAGCTGGGCAGAAGTACGTGGCGGGACACCCATTTGTACGTGGTTGCAGCTTTACAAATCAAGGCTCTGCTTGCGATCCAGATCCAGACTCCCGTTGGAGTGTTAGAATGGTTTTTAGGCTCTAATTTGCTGCGTCTTCGTTGCTCGTAATGATCGCAAGTTGATTGCGTCATTGCTTATGATATCGAGTTCGAGTGGTAAAATGTGGAACAGAGAAGTTGCTTAAGTCGGTATATTGTATTTCGTGATTCATTTTGATTTTTTGTTCTCCTCGAAGGAAATATACTCGATAATGTGTTGAGTATCTTTAGAGCAAGAAAGGGACTTTTGTGAAGTCGTGTGTTTCAAAGCTTTTCTGGAGACTATGTGTATGGGGATTATAGTATTAAGCACAGACGTTCGACCGGAGAGGATGTGTTTTGGAGTGTTCAATGGTGTGGAGTTGAAGGTGAAGACGTTTTCCAGCTAATCATGTCAGCTGGAGGTGAATGTGCACCTCTAGCATCTCATTTTGACAATAGGTGAATGTGTCTTCTTTGATTAATGTTGTTGGTTTGTGACTAGAAGCTGAGACATGTGTACTGTACCACAACAATCTCTTGTGAGCTTGTTGTCGTTGATTGTTTTCTTGCGGGCTTTTACTGGAAATATGATCATGTGATGCGACAGCGAAGGGTACAACTCGCAAACGCTTCCTGTATGTGTAGATCATTTTACCGGAAATTGTGGCTTTTGATCTTATAATTTCGTGTAGACATTAAGGCTCTGGCGTTTTTAACGATTCTAAACTCTTTTAAGGTAAACTGACAGCCATTTTTCGAAATATAGTTGTTGCTTGTGCAACTGTGACTTGATGCTCTTGGGGAGTCAAAGCAAGTTGAACACCACACACAACTAGTCGTACCTATTCTAAAGATAGCTTTCTGTTTAGTTACAGCACTTAAATGAACTGAATGCCATAGACCTTTAAGTGTTGTTCTGGTGGTGGTGGTGATAACAAGAAACTTATCTGCAACTCAACCATGTGAGTGATTCGCTGATAAATTTTTGTTTTTTTTTTCACGAGGGCTCGGGGTAGGTCCCAGCCTTAGTTTCACTATTAGAAAGAATATCTTGATCATGAAATGACCAACAGCTGTCTTTTAGATTCAGTTGCACGATTTACCACAATTAAGATCGCCAATATGTTCTCTATCAATGTTGCAGTTGAAGACAGAAGTAGCCTTTGCCTCTACGATGTGCCTCAAATCAGTCCATCAAAATGCCACATTACAGAGACTGCACTTCATGATGGAGTGCACTATCATGGAGGGTAGTCTCCGCAATGTGGCAATTTGATAGTCTCTCTAATGTGGCTAAATGATAGTAAATAATGTGGCTCAAATCAAAGTGATGCATGAAATCAAGCTTGAAGATAGAAGTTGCCTTTGACTCCCTCTTTCTTCCTCTTGGCATGATAATGCTTTTGAAGCGTCCTGAAATGTTGCCTCCTGGTAGGTTGTATCTGAATGTCATGCTGTTGACGCTACAACTCTGTCAAGAGTATTCTTACGCCTACCAGTCGATTTTCTCTCTAGTGGTTCTGCAAAACAGGGATGGTTTGATTCCGAAGTAATCAACGTTGAGAGGAAGCCCATATACATCCAAAATATGCAAGTTCTCCTTCTGGATAGCTCGCCATACTTCGCCGGATGTTCATCCATGTGAACACAGAAGAAGATTGCTTTTGGCGAATTACTCAGGTCGTCTGGTTCTAAGAAAAAGTAGGATTACGAGGCAACCAGGAGGTAAGACTGCTCAACAACTTGTCGCAGCCTCGTCATTCAGCGTGACCAAAAGTTTCTCAAGTGTTCGGACGAACGATTGATCAGAATGGCATTCTTTCCAATTTTTGTCGAAGACTTGAAGGTTCTTATTTGGGCGGGGTTACTCGAGGATGCCCAGGCATATTATTTTCTCAGCTGGTCCTAAAAAGAGCTTCGCATGGGCCTGTGACCACTTTGGTGCTTTTTCTCTCCGTCTAAAAATCTTAGCACCTTGGGCATCAAGCTATGCTCCGTCCCATGCGATATCTGGAATTTGGAATTTATCAGGAAAGAGTACTTCTTAGAGGAACATATTTTGAAAGACGGATCTTTTGTGTAGCAATCACGTTGGGAGATGAAGTAGCCACTAGTTGACCTGTTGCAATCATGCAGGCACTCGCACCGACTTAAATGTTAAATTCTTCCAAGTCACAAGAGGAGAGTTATAGCGAAAAGAGTGGGGTTGTGACTCTGAATATGGGATGGTGGTTCTATTTTATCTCCAGCAGCCAAGCAGTATATGGTGAAATTATTGTTCATCTGAATGTAGACATGTGATCGTGAAATTTTTAATTTATGATTGCGTTACTAATGCACGCAGAAAATTCTGCCATTTCTGGTAGAGAAATTATGTGCATAATTCTTCAAAATCCAATTTGTTTTCGTGGATAGTGTCATGTAGTTTGCAAAAATCAACTATCCTTTCCAGATAATCCTCCACCAGTAGTCCACCAGTGCAATTTTCGTGCAACTTAAAAAATAGGTTCAGTTTAACTGCAAAAAGGTGACATCGCCTACTTTGACAAAAACCTTAAAATTCGAATTCTTTGCTGCCACCTTCAAAAACACTATGCAGCCATTTGTGAATGATCAAAACAAAGAGCAAAAAAAAAAAGTTCCTGCAAAGGTTCAATGCCATGTTTCATCGTCCACAGGCCAAAGGCAATTCGGCATGAATATCGAACCTTACTATTGGCCCTCTATCATCACATACCCTTAAGATACGCACACATTCATTGCGAATAGCTATCAAACTCCTCAAAAATAATATCCAAGTGGAGCCTATCTTCCCTTGCACGCCACACCATTCTCCCACCCACCGATCAAGCTGAAGCTCTCGGGGTCTTCATGACCTAACTCAGATGCACACACTTTTTAGCATCCTGTAGGTCAATCCTGTCCATCGCTCCACCGCACCACACCTCGTGTGACCGAGAACATTACTCAAACGGACGTCTAATTCCGCACTCAAATTGGGTCACTTTTAACACAACTTGAGCACCGGAGCTTTAATGATAAAATAGAACCACCATCCCAAAATTTGAGGAAAACCTCTAAATATAGAAACACGGGAGCCGTATTTGGATTGAAAGTCTCATCACTTAACTTCCGGGACCCTGACCCGAGCCCTACCCGGTGGCGGGCCGCCGGGCGAAACGAAGGGGAACGGGGGGTCCCCCCTCCCCAAGGACTCGGGCTCGGTCTCGCCCTCCCCTCCCTGCCCTCTGCTCTGCCCTGCCCTTGCTTTGCCTTGTTCGCTCCCTTTCCCCTTCCCTTCCCCCTCCGAGCTGCTGCTTCTGCTGCTGTTGTTGCTCGTCTCTGCCTGCCCTTCAACTATTCAATCCGACGTCACATGATTGCCAATGAGTTTGCTTAGGCAGAAGCTGAACGTCTCGCAGGTACTGGAGGTTTTGTCGCTTGTGAGTGGTGAGTTTCTTGAGCTTGATCTAAGTCGTGGTGCAGCGACAGAGGGAGCTCTGGCGGACATGGTGGCGACTCGTTGGTTGCGGAAGTAGCGAGAGAAGTGAGGGGGTGGGAGGATTTCGACGCACTCTTTTGAGTGTTTGGCGTGGGTTTGGTTGTGGTTGGGTTTCTCGCGTAGCGATCGCGTGCTTCGGGATGATTAGGGAGCTGGGACAAAGTTTGGAATGAAATTTTGAAGTGGTCTTGGAGGTGGCGATGACGGTAGGCCGGAGTGAAGGGGTGAAGTAGTCGTGGTGTAATCTTTTGCGTCGAAATCCGTCAAAGTCCCCTTGAGTCGTTGACGTTTTCTTGTCGGGAGAAATGTTTATCAGGTTTGGAGTTGTTTGGATTGTGTATCGTTGGATCGTCTTCTCTCAAGTGTGTTTGCGCCGTTTTGAGTTCCACCAACCCTTCTGAGGTCTAGCTGTTGGGGATAGGTTCCTTGAGTGATGTGACGTTTTTTGGATATTCAACGTTTTGATTTACTTTGTTCTGATGGCTATATACTCGGATTGCTCCCCTGCGTGTCATTATATACTCCACAATTATCGAATGGGGACAGTGCTAGCTTTAGTGGACGATGGATTTTGATAACCTGTTAGTAAAGGGGTGCGTCTCAGTTTGTTTTGGGCTCTCATTCGCTGGAGCAGGCTTGGCAGTTGTCCGTATCCTCTTCCTTTTCTTCTCCTCATCTCTTCCATAGTTGACTCAGTTGAGGTTCTGGAATCTCTGGAATAGGTAGGAATTGCTTGATTTTACCTCTAATTATCCAATGGACGATGAGCGTGCAATGTTGCTGAGTTCTGCACTTTCCATCTCTTAGAACTCTCTGTGTCGGTATCTAGCGCTTTAAGAGATGCGAAATGAAATATGATGAATTACCACTTTTCAAAGCTGTTGTGGATAGAAATTGTACATTAAGTTCTAAATTCACGCCCTCAAAGACGAAGGAACATTCCCTGTTCTGTCAAATTGGTAGAGCAAACATTTTTATAATAGTTTCTGAGATCCTAAAAAACTGATTGCTGCTCACGATCAATCCTCTCTTCATTCAGGAATCCGGATCTTTGTTTTTCATTGAAAAGCACTAACTGAAGTTTTATTCTGCCGGGAGCATCTAGATTTCATGAAAGGTCTTTAGGGTTATAAGGTTGAATATTGTGTCGGGTGTCACATTGAATCTAGTAACCTAGACAGAGCATCTGAAGGGTTAGCACCGTCTCTTCAATTCTAGTCCATTGAACTTTGTCAAACATGCATGTCCTGAATTATGAACTCCCTAGCTCACTATGAAACTATGACGTTGGGGAGTCCCGTCGTAGAAGTGATCTTCTGTTTCAGAAAGAGATTAGCTCACGCAGGAGGTGCGTGCCCGTTTCGTGTCACAAACAACTAGATTAATATCTGAAGCACTCAGATTGACGGTTTGCATTGAAAAGTGCATTTCGGCGATACATTCTAACAAGGACCTGTGTGTGTGTGTGTGTAGATAGATACATAAATAGATAGATATAATCTGTTGATTGTGGACGAATTCTTCTGCACTTTTTTCTGTGGATGAAGTTGGGTTGGTCACAGTTCTAAGTGATTGGTGCTGTCTAATTCTCAATTGTTAACACTCAATGAATGTGATGTTACACGAATCGACGCTGAAGCTGCAATGAGAGGCTTTCGAAGTTGCATCTTCCCCGCTATGATAACCCATCAAAGTGATTGCAATTGTGCATCTTTGGCAGTTGATGATGTGAAATTTAAAATATTAAAAGATTCAGATATTCTTCTTCTTGTCCGTTGCTTTGCGAAGTAAGAGTACTTTTGCATTTAGCTCTTTGCTGTAACGGCTTTGCTCTTGGGCTCCAAGCACCTAGAGCTTGGAGTTGACACATACTGCTTGTAAAGTTGGCGTGCTGATAATGTAGCAGTTATAACTAAATTTTTGTGCTCCTGTTTTGAACCGCAGGCTTCAGTTGTGCTGGAGTATAGCAGACTGTAGAACTCAGTTTCAAAAGGTGCTGCCTGTACTGTCGACGCAGTTTTCTAGATTGGCGGATTTACTAAATTAGAATGTTGTGGGGGAACGGTATAATTGCATTGCAACTACGAGGTATTCGTTAATCTGTAGGTTTTCAAGTGGTGCAAGAGTAAACTTGTGTTCAATTGATACAAATACGAAGATTTCGTGGAATTTTAAGGCAAGAGTGCCGAGAGATGCAGGACATTCTGAGATGCGATCTGTGTAGATAGAGATGGCAAGTGCGTTCAGATTTCTCGTCTGCATTTACTCTACCGAATTGGGTTACAGGTGTACGTGTCTAGTAGATTTCTCAGGACCAGCTGGTTGAAACACATGACCTTCACAGTTTTCAGAAAGCTGGACGAATCAGGTTGAGAAGAGTTTTCGGGGCGCATGGAGGACATTAGTTATTAGATTGAGGTGGGTGATGGTGGAGGAAGTGCAGATGTCCGAAGGGAGATTCTTTGGTGAACGCAACCATGAAATGGTTTGATCGCTTAAAAGAGAAAGTTCACTCTGCACAATTACCACTATCTCCACGAGCAAGCCGTGCTCACCCTGAAGATGGCGAAAGCCCTCGTTTCAGGTGAGATTATGATGCTGCTCGCTTCTATCGTCAGTAACTTCATATAAATTGTTTCTGGTTGAACTTTTGAATTGATCTGTTATTACTGTTTGACGAGGTAGATTTTCACACGGCTTGCTATGTAATTCGCTGTGCATGAGGGGTTATCTAATCCTATCTCAAGAAATTATTGAACACTAATCTTTTGCTCTTTTGAAAATTATTTATCTTTTACTTAGTCGACTTTCTTAGTGGTTTGACGAACGTTTTTTTTGTTCAATGGCATGATATGTCAATTTGTTTATATTAACTGATTGTTTGTACTAGTCCTTATCTATAGGCACTAGTGTTACGGTTGATATGTCTTAAAACGCTCATTTTGCCCTTCTCAAGAATTTGGCTGGATGATGATGTCATCAGGGATACAAATGAGTCAGAGCAGGACTTTCAGAGAGCTTGGGAAGACTTTCGCTCCGCAACCGAGGAGGTATATCTCCTTCAAAGCTACTTTGAGCTCCTCAGCTCCTAACGACTTTCAGTGAACATTAATTTTTCGAGCAAATAATAGAAGATTATGTCCTTTCAGAATTCTTTACTGTATCGACAGATGACTCTCCTTGTTGTTGTATGCATTTTGTGTGTGTTTTTTAATTGTTTGTTTGTTTGTTTTTGTTTTTTTCCATGATATTTTGTTTTAATTTTTTTTATAAATTGGTCAGGATTTGCACCAAATCATACGGCATGAAATACCTGTGAATGGTTAATCTTTCTATTTTGTATAGAATTGTCAATGGTTCTCATAAAGAACTTGCGTAGCCCTTCTGGTATTACTATAGGCTGATTTGCAACATGTATCAAACTTAACTTTCGTCCCTGCGCTATTTTCTGTGTCCAGGAAAAAGAAAAAGCTATGGAGAAAGTCCTTGGTCTTTTCTGCAAAATCTCCCGGCGCACTGGCAATCCTGCCAGACTTGCTCAGACGTATGGCTCAAATATTTCTAACTTCGTGGGTGTCCTTGCATTCTACATGTATCTTACTAGGAGACCTGTGAAAAATCAGTTCAGTAGAAATGCTTTTTTGACGCATGACAAGAACACTTCTGATTGCTGAATACTTTGATTTTTTTTCAGGCTTGTTGACAATCGTCGAGGATTCGCATTTGCGATTGCAAGAGCACTTGTTACAGATATTGAGAGGCTGCGGAAGGCTAGCCCCAATGGACAGTTGCAGCCAAATGATATCCTGAATTATTTTACTGGAGTCTCACATGTATTCTCTTTTTCACATTTGAGATGTAGCTTAGATGACCAATCATAATGTCGAAATTCATTTTCTTGTGTGCAAGAAGCGAGGACAAGGAAGGTCACTAAAGACTAAGAACTTCACTTCTGTACCTTCTCTTGCCGTTGATTTAGCAAGACTTTTATCGCTTTTATGCATGCTTTTACTGATTATCGCAGTTCGGCGTTCGTGTATGCAGGAAGGCTCAAGTATGGGTGGCAACCTGCTCTTTGCCCTTGAAGGTCTTGTTGTACCGGTATGCTGGATTTCGTTTTGACAACTATATGAGTGGATGACAATCGATGTTGATTCGTCCTTTAGTTGGTTTTGATATCGAATTTATCAATGCATGTTTTTGTTTGTTTGTTTGTTTTTTCCCCATTAGAGGTAGCTTCTACTGTTCAAGGATATCTGGTTATTCGTTTATTTCTGCATCTAAGGCATATATATGAGTAGTCATCTTCATCTCAGTGGATGCAGCGCTTGTCCTTGGTTTCAATTTTGAATTGCTTGAAGAACAACTTCAAATTATATCTATACTGAATTACTTGCGATTATTTTCTGGCTTTTGCATTGGAAAAGCATTTCTTGTCCTCTGTTTGATGTCAATTCTCTTCACGAGGGCTGCTATTTTCAACCTGTTTTTGTATCGTCCTATAGCTTGCAAAAGTTTCAGTATGGCAATTTGCTGCTGTTTAGTATATCGTCTCTTACCTGTTTATATTCTTTTGCAACACAGCCATTGGATGTCCAGCCACTACTTGACGCTGGCCTGCTTTCATCTCTAGTTACGGTCCTATACCGCCTCCTTTGTTCTGCTGACTCCGCTAGTTCAAGTATGGATAACTCGAGATCCACCGATGACAGTGGAGACGAGAGGAAGCGAATTATGGTGCGTTGTCACGAATTTGATGACGATAGCTTTTCCACCTTCAAGAATGTGTGAATTGCACACATTACAGTTCAATTCTTAGCCAGCAAATTATGAGATATGTTTCCACCATGGCAAGAGTTGTTAGGTATTCTGCCTCGATGTGGTTCTTTTAATATCAACTTGTCTCTCAGGTGGAAGGAGGCGTCGTCCACATAATGAAGGCATTGGCACGGCATCCTGGGGCGGCACAAACATTGGCTGAATGCGACAGATTACAGTTTATGTTCCATATGGTTGTCATGGGGGGGACAACGCCCCTGTCAGCTCAGTTTCAAAAGATGGATGCTAGTTCGGCACCGCCTGTCCACTTGGCACAGCTTTATCGTCATGTCTTACAGGTCGCGTCCACTTTCTGTGCTGCATTCGATTTTTTCGAATTAATTAAGTTTTATTTGTAGATCTATATATTTATACCTTCAGACATCTTGAAATTGTTACTAGCTGTTCTTAATTTGAGCTTGTTGAGAATGAAACAGATTTTGGAGTTGTTACTTGCCAGCGACAATGGAGCCACTGCTCAGTACATTCAAAATCAAGAGTTGGTGAGTGTAGAGAAGATGAAGCACTTTGATACATAAGAAAGGAGCGGCTGAGATGTGTATTCTTAACAGTATAATTTCACTAAGATTGTTTGCTTATGCACTTACTATCTGGATCAATTTTCTACTGCGTTAGGGCACCGCCTACATGGGTCTCTTCAAATATTAGTGGGAGGAAGAAATTTTCCTAAATTTAGGATTGAGGTTTAGTGCTGTTCTTATAGGATAGTAATCCTTGTGGTAGGAATCTTACGTCTGGGCGTGTCGTGGTTGGATTGGTGGTGCAGGTTGAAGAACTCTTGACTCCAATCCTTTCCTTTGTGGAAAACACTGGTGATGCCAGCTATGCAGTATCTGTTGTTTCCCTCATCAAGAATGCAGTTCAGCTGTCTTCTCGTCCTGGTATTCCCACTATTTATGGACAAATTCACTTGATCATTGATTGATAAAAATTGCATTTTGTACCCATGTGGAATGTGTAGTCATGGTCTCGTCAAAGGTGTGTGTCCGATTATGGGTTGGGCTGTTACGTACGCTTAGTAAGTGCTTGCAATATTGACCCCCTAAATGAACTTCTTGACAGAATATTTTATGGGCACCTTTCATCTTAGCGATATGTGTAATTATGTTGTTTTTGATAACTATGCCTGTGTTTATCTGTGTTGTGTTGAGAAGTAAAACATGCTAAACAGATTGTCTGCAATTTCTTTGAATGTGCCAATCTTGGATAAAATTCATTTATTTACTTTCTTACAACAGGCCAAGTACAATTGAAGTGTGGGTCATGTAGTGAGGAAATCGATTTGTAATGAATAATTCATCCTGTTGGACGTCTTCTTATTTTGATTTTCTCGGTGGTCTCCTGCAGAGGCGGGGGGTATATCTTTGATAAACAATCTCTGGAAAGAGCGTGACTATGATCTTTTTTTACGATTAGCTTTAAAACTTTCAGAATCGGGATCTGATCTACCTAAAGGAAGCCCAGATATTGACTCTGTACCACCACAGTTGATGCGGTTGTTGGACATCATAGGGGAGTTGGCCCTAATTGGGACCAGGACCAGCAGTGTTCACTCTGGTAGCGGAATTTCAGGAAAAGGTGGAAAGCCTCCCCCAGGTGGTCAGATGAATTCAAAATCTGACAGCAGTGGATCTGTTGAATTGTCCCTCGATAGAAAACTTCGAGACTCCAACTCTGTTCTGGTTTTCAAAAATTTATTTTTGAAGACAGAGTCAGTTGCTCTGCGACTTGAGCTGTTGGATCGTCTTCTTCGTCTCTTCGCTGAAAATCCAGACAATTATGCCTTTGTTCAGAATCTACAAATAATGAGTTTATTTATTCAGAACATGGGAGGCTACCCACCTCTATTACAGGAACGCGTGTTAAAGGTTCTAGAGGTTGCGGTTGTCAGTGCCAACTGTGTTCCGGAGAAGGAGTTGCTTTCCCTATGTCTCTTGATTCAGCAACCGTTGGCATCGTCACTCAGGACATCTGTGTTGACATTATTCGAGAAGCTTCTCTCCTTTGACAGGCAATATAAAAAGGTGCTTCGCGAAGTTGGAGTAGTGGATTTACTTGTGGACGATCTGAAGAAATGTGAACCACCTGTCACCTCTGTTAAGACAAGTTTTAGGAGTAGAGCAAACCCTCTTCGAGCCAACAGTTTGAGTGTGCTTGCGCTTGAGCGGGATAATTCGTCACCTCGCAACCAACATATCTTTGAAGATGGATCTACAACCGGATTAGCATGGAGTTGTTTGATATCCCTATTAAGGAAAAGTGAGGGGAATCAAATGGTATTTCGGAAGGCGAATGGGGTTGCAGCTGCGCTTCCACTACTGGCTGCCCCCAAACATCGGTCTAATGTGCTAAAGCTGATGCATTGTCTTATAAGCGAAGACACGAGCCAGGTAAAGAGTCTTTTCTGTCCAGTTTTCCTTGTTTTAAAATTTTTAAGCCTCACTTTTTTATTTCTTAGTTTTAGAAGTCAATCTTCTGATTGATTAGTTAACTTTTCGTATGAAGTTTTATGTCTGCCTTTTATAAATGCTTACAATTGATAATCATTATGACTTAGGACTCATTCTTATCACCACAAACTTCCATCTACATTCGTTTGGTTGGTTTCTAGTTTCATGAGCCTAGTGGGTAATTGGAAAATGAGGGTGTTAGTTTGATTCATCTGAAGATTACGACGTGTACTGGATTCATAAAGGAGCATTTCACTTATGTGTTTCACGGTGATCTTGTAGGCGCATAGTGAAGAGTTGAAATGTCTTATCGAAGTGATTCACACAAGCTCTGTCCAGAGCTTAGAAGGAAGGCAATGGCGGATAGAGCTGGAAACCAAAGAGGATATTTTGTGGATGATGTGGAAGGTTATTGTTGCAAAACCTGCATTGAAAATTGTCTTTGGAGTTGCACGCGGATTTATGCTTCTCCTTTCAGTCCTTGAGAGCATTCAAATCGATGATCATTCTGGGACAACAAGCCTGTTGTTTGGTCTTGATGAATCAGAAGTTGACTCTTGTGACGGCACAATCTCTCTTTCCGGGTTAAAATTGCGCATGGACCTTTTTAGTGCTCTTGTGCATGTTGTGGTTGCAGCCGTCGTCGATACTCCAGCGAACCGAAATCTTTTGCATGAGTGTCTCATGTCGCAAAATTTCAAGCGCCTTCTTCGCTGCTCAGGGTTGGTCTGTGAGGAATTTGGGGAAAAAATTGCCGAGCTTCTGTTCGATCTGGCACTCGAACGAGTTCATTCACCGTCTCAAAATTCCCAAGGATTGCCAATTCTGCTACAGAAAGAAGAAGCTGGTCATGAAGGTTTCCGGCTTCCTGGAATCCAAGGGACGTTTGTAGTTGATTCAAATCAAGCTCTGCGTCAGGAGGAAGTTAATAATGCAAGTGCTATCGAGGTCCTTCTTTTCTGTCTTCTACAGTTCACTATGACGCTACAGTTGCGGGTTCTCCTACGTTTGAAAGCTATTGCGAGTGCTAGTCCTCGCAATCAAGATGTTCTAAGTGCTGTCGGTAAGCTTACGAGTATTTTATGTTGAGTTCCGTTTGTCAAGTCGTGTGTTTAGTGTCTCTTTTTGTTGGTTGGTCATGATTTATCTTCCACAGTCTTAAATTTTCCCTTGTTTTGATATACGTTTTGCTATCTCTGTCCCAGTATGGCATTGCTTTCCTCATTTTCATATTTGAAGGAAGCTACTGGATCTTGTTAGAATTAACGTAATTGGTTTGTGTTCTATGCTTAATCTACTATATGTTATACGTTTGGGTCTTGGTGAATTTATTTATCACAGCGTCACTAAAATATTTCCTAGTTTTGTGAGCTGAACAATTTGTTTCCAAGTTACTAAGTTACTTCTTGCGTGAGCAGGCTGTGTGGGTCTATTGTTGGAGGCGATTCGAAGCATGTCACCGAATTCTTCATCCATTCTCACATGCTCTCTGCAGATTGTGGAGGTACTGGGGTCATTCAGGTGAGGTTCTTTATAACCTACCATCTCTGCAGTATCATTAATTATCGTGCTTACTCCCCTTAAGTCCTCTCAGTCGGCGAGTTCTTGATGACAGACTTTCTGCTTTAAACCCGTCGACCATGCTTATTGCCTAAATTGATTCGTATCGGATTTTTTCAGGCTCTCAACTTCAGAGATCCGCACTTTGGGGAGGTACATCTGGCAGAATCGTGATGGATCGGGAGGTCAAATTGGGAAGAATATTCTAGAAACGGTTAAAAGAATGTGGTCCATAGACTTCGTTCCTGAGAGTCTCTCTCTCTCTTCCTTTATTGAATTTCGCATGTCACGTGTAGGTCACGCATGTATCCGAGTACCCTTGGCTAATAGAACATGGCCACCAGCAACTGGCTATTCATTTGCTTGCTGGATTCGTTTTGAGAACCTTAGAAGTCATGCTTTGACGGCGTCAGAACACAATTCGACTGGTCGAAAGCTTGACAGTTCAGGTCCTACCATTCGCATATTTTCAGTGTGCACAGCAGAAGAGAAGAGCTCCACCTGTGTGGAGTTGTTTATGGATGATACAGGGGGTTTAAAGTTGGTTACTAGCCCAACCTCATTTTTATCCTTTAAAGGTGTTCATCTAGAGGAGTGCAGGTGGTACCATTTGGTTGTAGTGCACAACAAGCCAAATGCTCTGGCAGGACTTTTTCAATCTAGCTTTGCCTACCTTTATTTGAACGGAAGATTATGCCATACTGGAAAGCTTGGATACTCTGCGACCCCTATTGGGAAACCACTGCAAGTAAGTGTTATGAAGGACCTCAACTTTTCTTTCAAGAATGATCTTACATATTGGAGCTCGTGGTGTTTTACATATGTGTAGTAATGTGCTAGTATATTGAAATGCAATCAACTAACGTGAGTGTGTAAAAGTGGTTACTATCAGACTTTTTCATTTACCACGGATTTCTGTGCAAATTATACAGGTAACCATTGGGACAACTTCTTCTGAAGCTGAATTGTGCTCAATGTCATGGAGGCTCGGTTCCTGTTATTTGTATGAGGAAGTCTTGCCAGCACCTGCAGTTTTCTTTATGTATATCATGGGAAGAGCTTACCGGGGGTTATTTCAGGATCCAAATATGATACGTTTCATACCTCAGGAAGCTTGTG